ATCCTTGTATCCTTGTCTTCTTCAATGACTTGTATATAGAAGGGAAGGTGTGAGACACCTTGTCTCTTAAGTTTGAAGTCTGAGCCAACTGTGGTTTCAGATGTGGTTGCTATTCTTAGAATGCTTGATATTTACTGAAGGTCACTTGAGGAGGTGTTGAGCATTGGTCCCTGCCTCCATATGTCCTCTTGTATTACCCTTTCTCCTTGCCTTCAGTTAGACAATAAAGGAGTTAGTGTTTGGTGTCTTTGCAGTCAGTTCTAGAAGACTTCTGTACATTAAAAAATATGTCTGTTGCTAAAGACTGAATTTCTGTTGAACAGATGAACTTTGCAAGGTATGGTTGAACTTCATCAATCTTTATATAATGTATTTGTTTTATATTTACTGTACAGTTAATGCCTATAAATATAAATACCATATACATTTTTCTATTTCTATTCTATTCTGTTTAGCAGATTAGCATTACTGTTGTTCTAATGTCTGTTGTAAATCCAAAGTTTTCTTTATACACAGTAATGTGGAAAAGTTTTTGAACTACGCCTCGTTTCTTTATATTTTGCATCCAAGAAGCAGGAATTTCTTGATAATGTGTATTTTTTTGTCAGAATGTTGCATGAATTAAAATAATTTAATTTGTTTGAAATTTTCTTACCCTTTCCTTCCTTCAAAGGTTTTCTTTTAATGGGAAAACCAGAGGAATGAGACAAACTCGGGAATTGCATGTCACTACGTAAGGTGAGTTCTTGGGAGAATTGCTGTTTGAATTTTTATAAGAGGTCACAAATCAGACACTTAACTATACCAATGTAGATATGTGCATATGAGAAAGTCTTGATTATATGGTTGAATTACGCAGTGGCTAAAAGGCCAGACTACTGTCTATATCAGTGGTCATTATTATAAGTTACCCTTGTAAGTAGGACAAATTCTAAATAACATGGTCTCTTTGCAATAAAGAGCTGAAGCTAATTAGAAATCTGCTGGAAGTGCTGAGGGTGCTGTGGCGCTGTGGGGTATTGTAGGGAACCTCTATGTCTACAACTACTAATTGAAAGATAACATTTTAATTTTGTTTTTTCAATGAAAATAGTGAATTTTAAGTTGCTTAGGTTCATTCGTGTCTCTAACTATAGTGTAGTTACCAAACTTTTTGTAAACAGGCATGCTGTCACACATGAAAATGGATATGGAAATTTCAGATTAATCAATTAATCCATGAAAAAGGGCGCAAGTTATCAGATGATCAGAATCAACTGACGTAATCGTGTGTATTGTGCTTATAGTACACACGATGAATTCAAAAATATCTTGGCTGTTTCATTTGCTGTTCAGAGGAGCGGGGAGCTAAACTTTATAGTGTTTGGATGCACAGGGCATGATGAGAAGTTCATCAGTGTGTGACTGCTGAGTGAAGAAACACTTTGTGCATTGTGCTCTGCTACCATACTGTCTGCCCTAGCTTTGCCTGTATCCATGATAAGCCATGTTCTGATCATCAAGATATTTTGTCAATCTTCCCATGAGCTAGGTGCCATAGTCACTTTGTGTATTTACCCAGTATTTTCTGTATTATTTTTCTCTGATGATTATCCTTTAGTATTTGACCATGATAAAACTGTATTATTGTCATAGTGTTTTTACTACTGTATTTTACATTATTAGGACACAAAACATGCAAAAAAATAAAATAAAAAATCCAAAACATGCACAACCAATATACATTTCAAAGAATGTATCAATTCTCTATAGCTCTTTCCTGGATGGGTGGTGTAGCACCTCTTACATAAAACAATGTTTTCACTAGTTAATTAGGTGGGAAAACTCAGCCACCATCCATTGTCTAGAAACAATGCATTCAAAAGACAGCATAGGTCCAGCCAGACTTTAGCCAATCTATCATGAGAAACACTGACACACAAACAAACACCCCATAAAGCTGTTTAACATGAAGCTGCCTATTTCGACTAGTGAGGAAGTTTGATGTAATTATATAACTTTTTTCTTTTCTTTTTTTCATATAACCTTTTTTATCAACTGTTTTCACTCCTCCATTAAGAAATTAATGATTATTTATTAATTAACTTATATATGAAAGGATAGCAACTGTTCACATTTTGGACAGAGAGGACAGATGGTTTGAAAGAGGAGTGAAAGAAGCCATTATGATACTGAGGACCATCCTTTGAACAGAGAGCGGTTGAACCACTCTCGCCATCTATAATCCAGTTTTGAGATCCCTTCCCAGATGCCTTAACGCCCACTCACATCCTGGCCATCCTGATTAGGTAGAGGATCAATAGGGGGTCCACGACCCTCTTGGTGACACTCCCATAGGGCTTAAAATATGGGACTCTCCACCATTTGCTCTTAGAACTGAAGAAGCTTGTCAGATGAAACTTAAAGAAGTCCAGACACTTTTCTTTCCAAGCTCCTTAGAATACAGCTGGGTCATAATGTATTTTTTGTTCTGTGATCAAAAACTCTAAATCAATCTTTGAGTCTGTAGATTGTATCACATGATATCCACTCTGCTTTTTTAATAACCATTTAATAGCCATTTTCACACGTGTGATACATTTTCTTGATTCCAAATTATTCGAGAAAAGTGTATGCAGTATCATGTTATATTCAAGCTGTACTTACATTTTACAGTTTAATTTTTTAGTTATATTTCTTATATGTAATATTAAATAATAGGACTGCCACTAATAAGCAACAAAAAAAAGTCAAGACACAGTTTCAGATGCAGATTCATTTAATTCTACTGACCAACCAACATGCATAGGGAGACACCGTTACTAATACATCCGATGTCTCAGAAACAGGGATTCAGACCATGTGTTTTACTCCTCATCATGACCTTTCTGGAAACAGAGACACAAACAAGAGAGAATGAAATGTTGTTAAGTATTATTGGACATATTAATGGTTCACTTTAATTGACTATACTATGTGACAAAACTGAAAACTTTCAACTTTTGTAGATTCAATTTTGGACATATTTGTAAAATTAACTTTTAAATATGCAGTTATATGCAAACTGTAAAATGCTCACTCTACAATGATTCTGATGGTAAATGAAATCTTTATAAAATTCCTAAAACAGATACATGCGATGTATCGTTATAGAAAACGACACACTTTTTAAAAAAAAGTACAGATACTGACCTTTGACCCTGCGTCACGGCTTTTGACACGTAGCTTGTTGACCTGGGACTCGGCAATGTCAGCTCGCTCCTCAGCTTCATCGAGCTCATGTTGAAGTTTGCGGAACTTGGTAAGATTACTGTTGGCCTGTTCCTCCTGTAGAACAGAAGCACAATATCCTTAAGATGGCCTGCTGTATATTTTCTATATTTCTATGTGATTAATAGGCGAGAAGAAATGATGAACAGGTGCAATGCTTTTTTAGTGTGTAAAATGTAAATGCAAAGACTACTTACAGCTTCCTCAGCAGCTTTCTTGTAGGATTTCACCTTTAGCTGCAACTTGTCCACCAGATCTTGCAGACGGGTAAGATTCTTACGATCCTCTTCTGTCTGGAAGCAAACAAGAAAATTTTTTTATTTCTCTGAGTCAAAGTAAATATGAATTTAATTTTTACTGTTTCTTCCCTCATTCTCTAAGGTGACTCAAAAATACCTGATACGTCAGCTCTTTAATCCGTCTCTCATATTTTCGTATTCCCTTGACGGCATCACTTGATTTCCTTTGTTCAACTTCAACTTCACTCTCCAATTCTCTGATCTGTTGAACAAAAAGATTACTTATAACATACTAAATATTTTCCTTGTTTGATGATTTGGTAATTTATTATATCGATTTGACTTCATTAACACGATTTTGACTTACCCTGGCCTCGAGCTTCTG